TCAGAGGATAACCCCCTCAGAGGGGCTGGTAGCAGGGTCTAAGCTGTTTGATCACTGTTTTGGGACGAGAATGAGATCGATTTTTCCCGTATCTTGATGGGAGGTTTCTCTGCCGAGTGCCGCCGGCCTCTGCAACACCCGAGCAGTCAGACTGGCCAGAGCTCCAAGGCCTGAGGAAACTACACATTGCCTTTAGTCTGATACTTCAGAATATGATTTCTAAAAGAAAAATCTCACGGATTTACAGGTCCGTATTAAAATGCCTTTTGGCTGCAGTTTCAACCTAAGTCTTCGTTTCTTAATGAAGAGCGTTTCCACGGCTCCCAACAGTAACAATAATTAGGCTGGCAGAGGCCGCCTTCTTTTCTGACATGTGAAATAGGCTCAGATATGGTTGTTCGTGGCGTACACAAAAAGTCTAAACAACCGCAAGGAACGGCACAAAGCTAATACCTACTTACACGGGGCTATAGCCTTCCCAAAGACAATAAACTCATTATTTCATAAAAAATCATATTTGAACTTTGCTCCTACTCCTGTGCTTGCAAGTACTGCTCGAGAGGGCACGGTGGTTCAGATGAATTTGGAGCTAAATCCCGGATTCCTAGGCGGGCAGAGCCGTAGCCATTTTCCCGAAAGCTTTCCAGGGAGCCCCAAAGGTAACGCTTGGCTGGTGTTTCGGGGGGAGAAGGAAAACCAGCCCAAAGCATTTGTCGCCACTCTTACCACCCGCATTGCCCAATGCAGACAAAACCCTACCTCGCTCATGGCGGGGTGGCTGCCAGTAGGAAAGCGGGGACGAAGCCTCGCCGGGTGACAGCTCCCCGGGGGCAAGGGATGCTCACCCAGCCATCCACAGGCACAGGAACCACTCCTGGGTCCCTCCAAATCTTCGATACGTTCAGCCTCTGTGCTGGGAGTTGACGCATTGCGGACAATGATGGTCTCTTCATCTAGTGGCATTCCCTAATTAAAAAAACTAGAAGCAACCCCAATGATGCGAGCCAGGAGAAGAGCAAAAACCAGATAAAGTCCCTTTTCTTACCCTCTCTTGGAATACTACTCAGACGGCTACAGTCCGTGAGAAATTGACCCATTGCTCTGTTCTTCCCTATCCTAGTCCTCCCCAGCAGTACAACCCGTCCCTTTACTGCATGGGTGATATGAAATCCGAAGAGGAACCTCGGATGAAAATATGTGAAAGGCAATATATTATTTATTAAACGCATCTGATCCAAGATGATGGCTTATTGTGAAGCTCCTAGTCTAAATCGCCTACGGAAAGAGAAAAGGCAGAGGAGGTAGGATCTAAATTGCCGTTTGTTGAGAAAGTCTGTCTATAATGTGTCTCTGTGTGTGCTTGTGTATCTATAGATGCACTCATTTCAGCAGTGCCCGTTGTGTGTGACCGCGTGTGCACACTCAGAGGTTCGTGTTTGTGGGCTCATGCTGTGCACAGTCACATCGGCGGTAGAAAATGCTGCATGATTTCATGCGTGCCCATGCTCTAGGGTTCATCCCTTCCTCTGAAGCAGTGGGCGAGGACACTGGTTCGGGCGTGGGGAGGCACACACGCGTGGCAGTGCTGCAGCCGCGGGGCGCGCCCTGCCTGCGCGGCTGTGCCTGTGCACACCCACCCGGGCTGTCCCCTGGGCACATGTGTGCACACGCGTGTGCGACACGCCGGCTGGGCGCGCAGGAGATGCACCCGAGTGAGGTGGATGCACTCCACGCCCTTCCACTGGATTATTTCGGGTGTCTTACCAGGTGCCCCCTGTACCGGCTTTGCGGGTGCATGTGGGGCGGGATGGAGCGGCGGGCACCGCTTGCTGCGCCCACGCCCGCGTCCCTCCGCAGCACGCAGGCGACTGTTCATCCCTTTATTTACTCAAACATAAACATCTTTGCATTTCCACCGCAGCCTAAACGTGATAAAGCCCTTCTAGGAGGCTCTCCATCCCTCCTCTTTTGATAAGGCTGCAAACGCAACTTGGTTTGTTGGGAATGGCTCTGGATGCCTTTGTGCTTCCTAAAAGAGCATAAATAATTAAAGTTTGGCAGAGAGGAAAAGCTTTCTTGCAGAACTGTAGTGGCAATAAATGAAATGACTCAGAATCTCTTCTCCAGTCGGTTTTTACGAGAGCTGCCAGACAGTGTCTGTTCACGTTCTCCAGATACTAGGGGCGCCATAACAAAGTTAAGGTCAAGTTAGTGTCTTATCTTGGGTGGCACAAAAATACCGCATCTTCTCCAGCCGGACCGGGTATATTTTTAAGCCCAAACGTTACGCAAGTCGCCTTAATTTCCACGGAGAGCATTTGGAAATGTCTCTTGGACTTGAATACTTGGTGATTCCAGGCAACGATTGCAGATGTTTCAAGACGCCTAACGGTAAAGTATTCGCCTGATTGTGTACATGATGTGCATTTATGTTTCGATGCTATTTAATCTGCGTAAGGGAAAAAGGAAAAAAAAAAAAAAAAAAGGGGGGGGGGGGGGGGGGGGGGGGGGGTGGGGGGGTGTTATTGTGATGTTCAGAGCTGGGTTGGTACCGACCCCAGGGTGAACACGCTCTGGCAGGCGGGCACCCCCAGCTCTGCCTTATTCCAGCGGGGTCTTTGCTGTGATATTGGTCTCACATTTCTCAGATTAGATCGTTTCTTAAAGAACTGTTTCCTAAAAGAGCTTTCGTACTAACAAATCGTCGCCATGTCTTTGAACTTGAATTAGTTGAAACCGGTTGGCTCCTGCGCCAAAATTTAATTGATGCTAGGTTTGTTGCATCGAAAAGAATGTGAAAGATTCTGGCTAAGGCGCAATTAGTTGTTTGAACGGTAAAGAAAATGAAGCTCCATAGGTTTCCAGAACCATCTCTCTTGACGAGATAGGCGATCAGAAACCTTGGGGGGGGCACAATCCGAACGGAGCCCTGCCCTGCTTTGCTGCAAGGTCCAGGGTAATTAGTGACACAGGAGCCATTTTAACTGCGCAGACATCATTTTTGGGAGGTTGTTTTTCTCTGTTGCAGCAGAACCGAGAGGGCTCGGAAGCCGATTAAGGGAGGGAGTGGTGCTTCTGTGCTTTGATTTCTAGTGACAACTTGCAACTTGCAAGAGTCTATCTGCTGAGAGCAATGTGTGGCGTTTGAGGTGTTTTGCGAGTGAGGCAACAAAACAAACAAACAAAAAAAAAAAACTGTACAAAGAAAAGAGAAAAGGAAAGAAAGAGGGGGCGGTGGGGGGCTGTTAAGAATGAGCTCCATAATATCTGCTTGGCTTTGGTATTTTTATTTTTAGAAAGGGCTAGCTGGGTGGCGGCATGGAAGCCCCTTGGGTAGCCCTGGATTGCTCTGGGGAGCCAGGGGATGCAGGAGGGGCAGTGCCGGTGCCGGTGCCGGTGCCGGTGCCGGTGGCGGTGGCGGCGGGGCGGGGGGCAGGGTGCGGGGGGCAGCCCGGGCTGCGGGGCTCCCGCCCCCGGATCCTCTCCGCATGGCGGGGCCGAGGGCGAGCAGGAGGCTCCTGTAGCAGCGGAGCCGAGTCCCCAGCGGGCACGGCCGCCTCGAGGAGCCGGGGAGCCCACGGGCCTTGTCCCCGCTTGCCCGGAGCTCTGCGGAGCCGGTTCCCCACCTGCCGGGCTCTCCGCTGGCCGTGGGACATGGAGGTGCCTTTGTGGAGGTGACACGGGGCCTGCCGGTGTGCCGGAGCCTCCGCCCGGGCATTGCTGGGGTGTCCAGAGGCGGCTGTGCTCGGCCTGGGCGAGTTCGCCCAGATCTCGGGTTTATTTGGGGAGCGACATGTGATGGAGCAGACCTGGCTATGCGGTACAGTGGCGGAAAAAACCCATTCCCATGGAGAGCTGGCAAATGGTTCTGGAATGAGGAATTGGTCGAGTATAGGGCTATTGCTGGCGCGTATTCCTTATTCTCCTCTCTTTTCAACCTTTGCGGCCCTTTTTGTGCTTGTCTGTCTAAAATCATATTTTAAGGAAAAAAATGAAAATTGGCAAAAATGAGCCCTCGAAGGCAGGGCGGGAGCGGGGCTGGCGGCTGCTGTGCGTGCCGCCAGCTCCCAAGTCTTGCTTTTCCCTTCCAATGAAAATGAACATTTTGGTGGGAGTTGGAGGCAGGAGAACAGAGGTCACTTTGTCTGCTGCTCTGCTTCCCAAGGAAACCGTGCTTGGTGGACTTCTTTTCCTGCCATAGCCCTCTGCCTTACAGAGAGCCCGAAAGTATCTCCCTTTCGTAAATCCGGCTGCTGAGAGATGTTCTGTTTGCGTATTTCTCATTTCAGTTTGGCGCCCTGACACAAGTGCGCAGTGTTTGGGCTTATAAGCGAGGGAAAAGGAGGTGATCGAAACTCAGGCTTTGAATTTCGTGACCGGTTTTGATGCCAACTGTGGATTGCAGGAGCCGGGCGGGCAGATCCGGTCGTACACTCGAATGTGTGAATGGGACTTGGCTTTCCTGAGTGAACCAGCACCCACCCGCTCATCATCTGCTTGAGCGGCCGCCGGAGAGTATCGCTCCCTCTGAGGAGGAAGCGATCACGTTTCCGAGCCGGGGGTGCCCGTCCGTGAGCCCCCAACCCACTCTCCGGGGGCTGCCTTCCCCGAGGGTGGCAGTGCTCCCCCCGGCTGCCCGGGGAGGCCGGGCGGAGATGCGGGCGGGGGGCTGCGCTCGGCGGGGCTCCGCGCCGGGCTCCGGCGGTGGGCAGGCGCCTGCCCGGGCGGCGCGGCCCCAGGTGATCCGCACCACCTACGTGTATCTCACATCGCCTGGTGAAAGGATGAGGCTTAAAACCGGCTATATTTGTACAAACGGCGCCCTCGCCTCCGCGTGCTGGGAGGGCTCTTTGGAGAGATCTTAGGAGCCTTTCCGAGGGGCTGATATAGATATAAGGACATTTCTACATCGCGTCACGTGACATAATTACCACTAGAATCAATCAAGATGAATTGCACGTCAGCACACGGTGGGGATTTTTTCTTAGTTGATCCTGTCCAAACCCTCTTGTGCAATAGATGGATCTTGTTCAATGCATTGAAGCCTCCTGGTTGCTTGCAATCGCAAAAAGGAAGACATGACTGAGTTTGACGATTGCAGTCACGGCACATCCAATATGTATCTGCCAGGGTGCGCCTATTACGTCTCACCCTCAGATTTCTCGACGAAACCCTCTTTTTTGTCTCAATCGTCGTCCTGTCAAATGACTTTTCCTTATTCTTCTAATTTACCTCATGTTCAACCTGTGCGCGAAGTAGCATTCAGGGAATACGGATTAGAGCGCAGCAAATGGCAGTATAGGGGCAGTTATGCTCCTTATTACTCAGCTGAAGAGGTGATGCACAGAGACTTTCTGCAGCCTGCTAACAGGAGGACGGAAATGTTGTTCAAAACGGACCCTGTCTGCGGCCACCACGGACCGTCTCCCGCCGCCTCCAACTTCTACAGCTCGGTGGGGAGGAACGGCATCCTGCCGCAAGGCTTCGACCAGTTTTACGAGACAGCCCCCGGACCCCAGTACCAGCAGCACTCCGAGAGCGAGGGGGACGCGGAGAAGGGCGACTTGAAAGCCCAGAACAGCACTTGCAGTAAAACACCTTCCAGCCAGGAGAAGAGAGTGACACCAGCAAACAGCGCCGATTCCCCTTCTGGTGAGGCTGTTGCAGAGAAGAGCAACAGTTCAGGTAGGTATCAGTAGTAAATTGGGGGCAAGAGTACAAGGCCAACACTTTGTCAAGCCGCATTTTATGTGCAATTTTATAAGCATCCAAAGGATTTTATATATCCTATAAGATTTCCTTTACCGTTGTAAAGCGTGTTTACGATAGGAAACCAATTTAGGTGGGCTTAAGGTATTCTTGGAAGAGGATATTAATTGTTATTAAATTGTTGATTCATCGGGGGGAGACGGAGAGATTTCACAGGTAGTGCTCAGTGCTGCCTTCGGTTTAGAGCTTAAGATCTTCGTTTGTTTGGGGCGGGGGGTGTGTGTGAGAGGAGTTTGAGAAACTTGGAATTTTTCCAGCCCATTTAAATATCTCTCTGTATTGCTCGAAGAGCTCTCTTTTAAGGAGAAGTTGGGAAATATTAGCTTTTCTTGCTAAGTCACCCGGAGATTAAAAGCGTCAGGAATATTTTTTGAAGTGCTAGAGGGCTGCTTTGCGGGCAGTGGGATATTATCAAAGTCTCTGATCAAACCCTAGCTGAGCGTGTTCGTAGCAACAGCGTGAATCAGTTTCTTCTCTCTTGAATTTCAGCAATTCCCCAGCGATCAAGGAAAAAGAGGTGCCCCTATACCAAATATCAGATAAGAGAACTGGAACGGGAATTTTTCTTCAACGTGTACATAAACAAAGAGAAGAGACTGCAGCTGTCCAGAATGCTCAACCTCACTGACCGGCAAGTTAAAATCTGGTTCCAGAATCGAAGGATGAAAGAAAAGAAACTGAACAGAGATCGACTCCAATATTTCACAGGGAATCCCTTGTTTTGAAAAGGAAAAAAAAAAAAAAAAAAAAAAGCAAAAAGAAAAAAAAAGCAAAAAAGAGAAAAAATATATTTAAAAAAAAAAAAAAAGCAAGAGAACAGGAAGAAAGAAGAGAAACAAAGAATATGTCTGTCTCTCTGACCTACCCTCTGAATGCAAAAGTTGATTTGTTTACTTGACACATCCACCCTGCGGAACTCAAAGTTACATTTTCATGTGCAACTCCCCACACTGAATGGCCACTGGAGATTTCGGGGCTTGGCGGAGCAGATTCCTGATAAGGGGAAACTAGGGTAAATCCAACTGTCCACTCTCGAGTGTTTTTCGCCAAAGGTGCTTTTTTTTTCCTCTCTCACAGTGCCAGCAATGGACCTGCAGTGTGTCTGGTAGTTGTTGCTTACAATTCATTGAGTTCGGGGGGGGCTCTGTTGTTGCTTTTGAGCTAGGATAACACTTTCCTCCCTTTAAGTGAATGCGGTTTATTTAAGAGATGGTAAATGTACGCTCGCTATATATAAAATATATATATATATGTTTCTATTGTCATCCAAAAGCATGGGCCACTGTCTTTTTCATGTGAATAAATGGTTTCTAGTAAAGTTAAGGTTATAACTTCCGTGCACTGTATGGATTTCCATCTCCGAAGGATCCTAGCGTTTTCCGGGCTAGAGCCAAGTTCAGTTAAATAATAATGCGAGGAAGCCTACCCGGGTTGTTTAAAAAGCATTTTAATTGTGATAGTTCAGATGCCTAACTCTCCTTTGTAGGTATGCGTACCTTCCCCGTTCGCTGTGAGACAGAGCCAACATGGCTGTCTGCAGACCATCACTTCTGATGGTGCTACTATTACTATAAACAACGAGAAAGGCTTTTCGTTTAACTGGTCAGGCTCCAAACAAGCCCAGAATCCCCAACGTCAATGACTGTTTACTCGTTAGTGAAGAGCGAGGCAGAAAGACTGAGGGCTCCAAGCGAGTCAGACAAGAGGGAGCTATAAACAATTGGCACTAGTTGGGGAGGAAAAAAAAAAGGAAAAAAAAAAGCCACACAATTAGCACTTAACCAAAACCACCCCCAACACTTTTGGGAGCAGAGGGTGGTTCTGTGAAATCTGCTTGCCGGCAGGGCGAGCGGAGCGCGGCGCTGGCCGAGCGGAGCTGAGCGCGCTGCCGCCGCGGCGGGCCCCGCCGGGGGCCGGCACCCGGAGGAGATCCGCTCCGCTCCGCGCCGCTTTATCTTGCGTGACCTGGCTGGGCTGTTTACAAAACCTTGAACTGTCTAGACAACACCATAAAACCCGAGGTTCTAAACAGCTTAATTGGGTTATATTATACACCTTCTGGTGGGCGAAAAAGAGATTTCCGCAATGTGCAATAAAGGCGACGAGTGAGAAAAGAATTTGGCTTTTTTGAATAGGACGAGGTGGCTCTCGCTACTCTCGCAGGCAGGGAAGGCAAAAGTGCCAAATAAGTCAGGAAAAAACGGAGAATTCAAAAAAATAGAGAAATAGAAGAGGAGGGAGGCATGACTTAAAAAAAATTTTTTTTAAACACTTTAGCAAGAAAAACATAAGTGTATGCCTTTGAACTTCCAAAATGTCAAGGTCATCACCTTTAACCTTTCTGAATAATTAGGCGCCTTAAGGTTCCTCTGTTATTTTCAACCACCACCCACTCTCTCTCTGTCTCACTCTCTCCCTCCCTCCCTCGCTCTCTCACACGCACGCACAGCCACACACACACTTTTTACCGCATAGCTGGCCATATTAGCAAATGCATCATAACGCAAAGAAAATCCCGGCTGGGTCGAGGTGAGCTCTCGGCGTCGTGCAGTGAGCGTGCCCTGCTCCAGTCCCTGGAGCTGGAGCACAGGGGGCTCCTCACTTCCCTCTCTTTCTCTTCCGCACCCTGAGAATTCGACTCCAAAAAAAATTATTTTTTTCTTTTATTTTCATTTTTTCCCTTTTTTTTTTTTTTTTTGGCTTATAAGAAAAAGAGGGGTTTGCTTAGGAAAAAAAGAGCAGGAAATGTCTCGTAATTTAGGCACAAGGACGATATTTCTATGCGGTTTCCCCTCAAAGCCCATTAATTAGGTATGCGCGAAGTCGCGGGGAATTCCTCACGGCATTTTGCCTGACCTTATAGCCAAATTCTCGCGTGTCTCCCGATCCTTAATCCACAGGGCGAGAACGAGTCGTTTGGTTTTCTGCTCCCTGCAGTGCTTTGACAGTCTATCTCAGCGTATTGATACGCCTTCAAAATGCCGAGACACCGCAAAAGCGGGCCGCGGAAACAGAAACACCCCAGCACTAATCTTGCATAAATGCTCAATGATAGCGGTGTTAAGTTTCTATTAAAAAAGGAAGGAAGGAACCCGAGGCTGGGAATGGATTGAGCGGAGGATAAAGACCTGGAGAGGGGAGAATTCCCGGTGTCTGGCGGGCAGCGGCCACAGGAGGGCGCGCCCGGGCGCTGCAATGCCGCAGCCTCCGGTGCTCCAGCCTCCTTTCCCCCTAATAATAATTCCACTGCTAATAAAATATCTAATATATAAGTAACGATAAGATTTCAGGGCCTTCCAAATGAGAAAATAAAGCATCAAAAAGATTTATTAAACAAATAACCCATAACCGTGACGTGCAGGAGAAATATGCCACTTTAAAAGAATTTTTTTTTTTTGGTCGTAATCTTTTATAATGCATCCGAGCTTTAAAAAAAAAAATCCCATAATTTTAAGAAAGGAAAAAATGAAACCCCAAAGATATTCAGAATTCGTTCCCTAGAACAAAAATCTATCTACTCCTTTAAGGACAGCCTTAACGCGGGTAGGAAAAAAAAGTAATATGAAAAACATGCATTTCCACAATTTATCTTTGATTCTTACTCCAGGATTTTCTTAGATAAACCTCTTGGTACAGAAAACATAATGTTAAAAATGTATTTTATTTAAAGGCGAGATTAACATTAGCTCCTGAGTGCGCTTATTTTTAAAAAGAACGACAGAGAGACTAAAAAGAAAAGATATATTTAATATCCTAACATCACCTTTCCAAGGCATTGTTGAATGAAGTCCCTCTTTTTAAAAGTGCTATGGAGATCTATTAAAATGAAAGTAGAGCTTACAGAATTAAAGTCTTTCTTATGAATTTCTTGGGCGTTCTCCAGCAACCGAATATGTTCTGTCTTTCTGAGATTTTTTTGTTTTGTTTTGTTTTGTTTTGTTTTATTTTTTTTTCCTTTCAGTGTGCACTTCTGGTCAGAACCTGAGGAAATAAAGGGTTTCGCTGCTTTCTGCTTATTTGCAGAATTCATCGAAATGTATTTTATGTTGGCTTAGCCATATTCCGCATTTTTTAAAGCCCAGTCTCTCTTGAACGTAGTTGTTGGCACTTTGTCTGCTGGATTGTTGGTGTGTGGTTTATTTTTCTTTTTCCTTTATTTTTTTTTTTTTCCTTTTTAGAAGTTCATTGTTAACACTTTCCTAGAAATAGCCTTTCCGGCGGTAATAAAACGGCATTGTACAATCCAAAATCCTTGGGATCCCTGACGCCAGAGATAGCCCTTGCAGGCAGAGCCGTATCCCGGAGGAAAATGCCCCGGTCTCTGGGTGGACATGCACTTTCCTAGGGGGAAATATTTAGCGAAGTTTTGGTGTTTGTTTTCCTTGGCATGAGAGGGCTCCTTGCCCGAGCCCGCACCAACCCCGAGCCCATCAGGCTCCATGCGAGGCGCTTTAACCCCTCGCAATTACAGTGAGGCCGAACTCAGAGAATGTGAACGGGTCATGGGGACCAGGATGCGCTGTTAAATTTGGGAAATTATATCTATACACGAGAACACGGAATTGCAACTTTGTTCCCTTTTTTTTTTTTCTTGAATCATTGTGTAAATATGATGATTCTGTGCGAGTCTTAACCGCTTCTATTTTTCCTTTTTACCTTTTCTCAGTTATATTCCTCTAGATAGAAAAGATTGAGAGCTATTTCCAAATGTCTTTGGGCTTGTCCCTTACATAGAACGAAAAGGGCATTTGCTTATTTTCCGATTAAAATATAAATGCGGCAGGAATCCGCGGAAAGATAATTGTGCAGCACAAATGCCGAGGCTGAAGGCTGAACTGGCCATCGATATACACGCTAAAATCTCATCACACCCAGGCACCTTTGTGTGCACAAAAATATGGAAATACAATAGGAGAAGGGCTGGAGTTTAGGGCGAAGCTGAGCATACGGTCGGTGGTAGTGTGCGATCCTTACGCTCAGAAATAACACCTTTGAAGAAAAGATCAGCGAGCTATTTTGTTTATTTTATAGGCTTTCATACTTAGGAAAAAGCATAATGTCATCAGTATGTGGTGTCTGTCCCCTTACCTCGGTCAAAAAAAACCTAGAGAATCTGAGCCCAGACGCCGACTCTTTCTATGAAAATACGGCACATAGAAATCTGAGCAACTTGACAGTCGCTTTATTAAAAGAAGAAAGATCACAATATCGTACCAAATTTTTTTTCTTAAATAAAACTATTCTTCAATGTCCCTGCAATTTAACAGCTTGGCATAAAATATACAGTCAGTGCGTTTAAAGACACCCTAAATAAAATGGTGAAATCAAGTAAATCAAAGGAAATTTACTAAAAGCTTCCTGGGTTCCAGCCTATTTTAAAAATAAGACATTTCTCGCAATACCTTTGTTACTGAAGGCATCTGCAAAATATCTGGCTTCTTCCGTACCCCTCTCCCATCCCCCTCACATAATGGGACACAAACACAGCAAATTGCAACTATGAGAATGCTCGGCACAGCCGAGACAAAAACATAATCATATCACCAGTAATAAGGTTCAGGGAGATAAGGCAGTGAAAATTAAGCCCTGCTGCCACGTCTGGTAACCTCCAGTTTTTAGCCCTGACATTTGCTAGAGGAGAAAACTGTAATGTCCACCTATGCTTTATTACAAACAGTAATTTACATCTGCATGGACCCATTGGTTGGGGCATTTTTTTACCCTCGTTCTGAAAATATGGGGCTCTGAGAGCAAAACCTTTATATTAATGTAGATTGTATATCTCAT